GGGGTGGAAGCTCTCCTGCAGCCCCCCGATTGACCCCCCCGGATGGCAGCCTGCGGCAAGTGCAGCTGGGCTGATGGCCGAGTGCTGTGATGTGCTGAGTGTGGGCACTCAGGGCACTCCAAGCCAGGACTGCTTTGCAAGCGGGAAACCCCTGAGAACTGTCTGTCCGGGGTGGGAGTCGGGTCCCTTTAAGCACAGCCCTCGGCTAGCCTGACACAGCAGCTCCATGCTCTAAGTCCTACTCTGCTGCCACTGCTTCCGGCTATCCTTAACCTCGGTTCAGGGTCCACAGAGGCCCTTTTGCCCACCCTGATCTAATGGTACTTTCTGGCCTCAAACTCTGAGCGTCGCAGTTTACATTTCATCCAGAAGAGAGCAGCACTCTAACTTTAAGGGTCTATGCTGAGCTAAGGCCCATGGGAGCTGAGCAAGGTGAATGTGCCCCTTCCTTATCATTAACACCATTCCTTGGTGTTTCCCTTGGAAGCTCATCTATTATTAACCTTACCCAGCTGTGTTTCATTTGCTATCTGGGGAAAAGCGCAACCCAACCCATGTAAACAGCGGGATTTTTATTAGCATGCACCGATGTCTGTAGCAAATATTTATCCCCAAGGTCCAAAAAGACAGAGACCCGGGGCCCATGAACTACAGATGTTTCTGTGGCAGCTCTTTGGGCCAGTACCCACCATGGAAAAGGCGAGCACTGAATTTGACATAGCTGCAGTCAAACCATCACCTAGAGACCTCACTGGTGGTTTCGACGGGAGGAGCGTTTCCCCATCCCACATCACACAGAAATACATCTAGTAAGCACCGGAGTAAGGAGCCAAGCCACTGGCCAAAGCCTGCAGAGCTCAGATTCACACGCCATCCAATTCAGAACCAGGAAGGAGACAGAGGAATGGAATGAGAACTAAGGTAACATTCCCTTTTCCCCGTTCTGGGATGACTTAAAAGAGGGAGTCTCAAGGCAGCCTGCCCCCTCAACGAGCAGATTCTGCCACTCTGTGCTCAGATCTCAGTAGAGCCTTGCCGTGGGGATGAAGCAGTTTCTCTGCTACGGAATCTCACTACGGAGCCATTTCAGTAAAGGAAACCACAACAGTTACCTCCTTAACCTCAGATCAGATCTGTGGGGCGTGTGGATCCAGGATCACGGCTCAACAAAACAAAACAAGGACAAAAATCCGCACGGGAAGTTGTGGGGGCAAAACATTCCACGGCAGAAAAGATTGAGAAGGCTCTCGAAGGCATATGCTGCCCTGAATTCCTGACCTGTTGTATAAAGTCCTCCAGGTGTCTCACTAAGAAGTGATTCTGAAATAGGAACCCGTAGAGACACTGCGATACCCGTGGCATTATGGTTCCTCCTCTCAGTAGCCCTTTTTGTCTTCCCAGCAACCCCTCCAGTGGAATTAAAGGAGCACTGTCCATAATCGATGCTCATTAAGGACTCTCCTTTAACAACTCCTTGCTGTATGGGATGAGCTACTTAGGAAGCTGGAATGAAAAGAACCTGGAAATGTATTTTTTTATTCTAAAAAACTGTCCGTTTTTCTATTTAATTTAAACACAGATTTATTAAAAAAAACTATTTAAAATGAAGTAGGACGCAGATAGCTGACGCTAAGGTCTAAATGTATTATAATCAATCAAAACCATGTACATTAAATATAAATAATCACATTAAGCAGTACCTGAAACCAGAGTTTATTGAAATACTAAGCCAGCTTTTGATAGCCCTGGCCCCTTCTGCAGGTGTGGAGCGAATACTTTCTTCAGATCAGTTTATTCAACTAGCCTCACAGTTCAATGACTAGTTCATTCCAATTTAAGAAACCAACTGGAAGCTGGAAAAGCAGGAAAACTTGTTTTCCTCTTCCAAACTATGAACAAATAAAACTAGGTGGGAGAACCAGATGCACTAGTTCTAAAATTTTGAAGGATCATTCATCATAACAAAAATCAGTTCAATTCACTAGCTACAGATCTTTCCTTTGTTCAGTGAATCAGAACTCCAGGCAAAGCCTGGTTTGATAATCTTTTTCTTTATGTATCCAGCATATTCAAGGTAGTTTATTTAATAAAAACATGTAACGTTCTGGTTTTGTGCATTTGCAAACACAGCTTGAGACAAACTGTAAGTAAAAAATTAATCATCTAGGACAGGGTGGGGAACCTCAGGCCCGGGGGCCGGATGTGGCCCCTGACTTGCCTGCATCCGGCCCCTGAGATTCAGCAGTAGGGAGCCCGCGCTGGTGATCCAGCCCCCTCCCACCCACCCACAGGGCTGGAGCCCACAAAATCTACTTGTCTGGGCCTCCCTAGACTCTGGTGTGCATGGGGAATGGGGAGAGTGATTAAAATTGGAAATTTAAATGGATTTATTTAAATCAATCCACGCCGCAGGAGACTCAAGCGTGTCTGAGCTACTGCCTGTACCTTGTCCTCCAGCCGGTCCATCAGGGTCTGTGAGAGGTGTCCGACCTTCGCCATCAGTGCCACCACCGTTCTCGTGTCCTCAATCTCTGTCCAGCGCAGCTCCAAGTGTTTCACCAAGTCACTCAGCAGCTCACTCTTATCCTTCGCCTGTGGCCTGGCTGCTATGTACTCGGCCAGGGAAACAATATGCCTGAGGTTCAGGCGTCTCAAACGCCAGCGCACCTCCTGCTTCACCGATCTCAGCTCCCTCCGATTCTGCTCCAGCCCCAGGAAGGAGAGGCTCTTCAAAAGGGGCAAAAAGGAGCCATTCCAGACGTGGGAAATCTAGGCAGCAAAGAGCAAGAGGGGAATGTCACTAGGCACGAGAGAGTGAGACGAGCGAGAAGCGGAGGCAAGGAATAGAGGATTCGTCAGATGGGATCAGTCATCCCGCACTGGGAAGTGTCAGCTGCTCCAGAGGACGGCATCCCTCCTCCCTCCAAGAGTGGTTTTAGTGCCCCCAGGCCTACCCTCCACCTTCACTGCGCCTGTAACTTCAGCCACTGCCTGCAGGTTCACGAGCAGCGGCTCTGTCCAGCTGTGGTCTGGAGACAAATCAGCAGGACTCTAGTTTTCCCAGGGCTGAGCTGTCATTTCTCACCTTTCCCCTATGTTCAGACCAAACGCTTCCCCGCCAGCACCGTGGACATTCTGTAACTGCCTACGACGCCAAAGGCGTAGCGCCCGCGTGGCTCTCCACCAAGGAGACACCGACGATGAAGTGGCTGAAAGCTTAACTTTTTTATGCTTCCAGATCTTAGCTACACGGGCAAGGGCCAAGTTCCTATGTCATCCACGTGGTGGCATAGGGCTATCAGTGCTGCGCTCTGGATCAACTTAACTTCTCTCACTGGACTTACCAATAGGCAGCTGAAAATAAAATCAGAAGCCAAAAGTTCCATGATGGATCATCTAGATTTAAAGCACTTTTCCGGGCTGAAGAATCCCCATGGGCTGTGCTGAAAATGAAGGGAATATCACCCCTCTGGGTGAAACAGGACAGCTATTTAACATCAGCACAAACCAATGTCAGGAAAGGAAAAAAAGTAACTTCCCCATTTGAAGCGGCAGAAGGAATCAAGAGAGGCAGAATGTAATGGCTCAGAATTTGACCAATGTGCTCTGGCAATAGTACCATCGGTGTTTTAATATTCAAGACCTTTGTCTTATAACTTGTCAGAAACTTGGCATGTCCAGTGGCTCAGCAGCTTCTCAGAGCCACGCCTGGACACAGAATCAGGAACTCAGGGTGATGATCACCAATGGAGGAGAGTAACGCAGAAATCTCACAGCAGTTTGCAAAGGTTCTGTTCACAAGTATCACTCATTAGGCCAGGGCCAGGCAAGATACCTGCAGCCACTCCGCAGAGACCCTGAGGCCGGCTCTTTGCCTGCTGCAGCCTCTGGCTGCTCAAAACAGTTGGCTGCTCCCTATAGGTTCTGCGTTCCCCTTGGCGGGGAAGGAACTTCAGGCATCACCTACACCCCAGACCAATCATTGCAGCTCCCATTGTGCTGGAGACAGGGGCAGTACGGGAAGTCTGCCTCTCCTCCTCCCCTAGCGCATGGAGCAGAGAGGTACATGGACGGAGGGAGCAGACAGCTGTTTTGTGCTACAGATGTGAAGGACTAGTCGACTAACCAATATGCAAATGCTTATCGGATAGTCGACAGGCTTGTCAACTAGTCTCTTCCCCTCCTTGTTGCCTCTATCAGAATGAGGAAGCAAGTGTGGGGAAGAGGAGGGGGTTTGTTCAAAAGTTTGATGTGGACAAATTTTTAATTATTCCACTTCTGGCAATGCTTCCATTGCTACACACTGCTTTACACCTGGATCAGCAACCAGCACATCTGTGTGTGTATCTTCCATTGCCCCATGGTCAGCTCAACCATTTAAATGATGGCACCTGTGTGGCACCTTCTAATACCAGGTAGTGGGTAGTACAATGTGGATTAACAAAGTGGAGTGGATTCCCTTCAGTTAATGTTTATGTACTCAGAGCAAACAATTTAACTTAACATCCCTGTGTAGGCAAACTCGTAGGGTGAGATGCTGGAGTATCTCTACTTATCTATACTGGGTGTCTGTAGCATTCTTTTATCCCCAGGGTCCAGTAAGAGAGACATGGGGCCCATGAACTACAGATGTTGCTGTGGCAGCCAGCTAGGCCAGTGCTGAGCACGGAGGAGGACAGCACTGAATTTGACAAGGCTGCTGTGGTTTTAGACTAGGTAGAGGAGAACACATTGTAATGTATGAAACCCAATATTCGTCTCTTGTTTAGAGGCCCCATCATTTTCCTAAGATTTCAATGGGCTAATTCAAGGTTCAACTTGGCTATTGAGAGCTGGACATGGATTCACTGAAGCGCCCAAAGGTGGAAACTAGCGTTCTCAACATGGGTACAGCACTGCTGCTAGCAGCAGAATTCACCAATGATCAATCCACTGCAAACTTCATTCATCCTTGTGATGCTGTTCACCGCAGCCCCTGTACGGACAAGAACTTAGCTGGGATCTCAGAAGCACCCATTGACTCAGGTCACCAATAGGGGAGGCGATAGCTTAATCTCAGTAGAGAGAATGCAAATTTTTGTTGGGAAGCAGTAGTGTCTACTAGGCTAGCACCCTAATTCCCACCTGTACGCACCCATTTTGATACATAACGCCCACTCCAGCCAATGTACACATTAGGGATGTAAAGGAGTAATTGAACAGTCGACTACTCGCATTCCCCCCCTTGCTGCATCTATAGCAGAGGCAGCAAGGTGGGGTGGGGGGAGGAGCAGGAGCTGGTGCTGAGGTGGGGGGGGAAAGCCAGCTTGAAAGCTGACTCCCCCCTGCACTGTCTCTGTGCTGCACAGAGCAGAAGCAGAGGTGCAGCACAGCGCTCGGCACGAGGGGGGACTGAAGCAGTCCCTGCTCACGCCAGGACCCCGAGTGCTGCGGCTCTGCCTTTTAAAAGTAGTAAGAACCGGGCGGCTCTTACTACATTGAAAAGGCAGAGCCACAGCAGGGGTAGCGAGCGCCTCCCCGCATCGACTAATCAAGTAGTCAGTGGAAATTCCATCAAGTACTCAAATAGCTGATTAATCTCAATTTAACATCCCTAGAACACACAGGAATGGAATATCCAAGCAATGCTGCATTGTAGTTGTTTCTAGTGCAATAAGTATCCTCCCCTTTCTGAAAGCAGTCTGTCCCATTCTCTCCTCTCCACGTGCTCTCTCTCCCCCCACTGGAAGCAAGCATGACCAAAATTACATGACCTGCCAAGTCTGCACAGGCCACCAGCTAGGGATCTCTGGGAAATTTTGTCTGATCAAATGTGCCAGGAGCACCAAGGAAAGGGCACTCTCTGTGCTCATTCTCCCATCATACTCCTCTCTCTGAGAGCGCCCATCCGCAACATGATGGGAACGTACCTGGCTATTGAGAACGTTGAGCACTTGCTGGAAGCGACTGTCCTGCACGATGCTCTCTGTTTCTAGTTTTTTCTCCATCACGAGTCGGGAGAGTTGGATGATCAATGTGGCCGCCTGGTGCCCACTGAGAGAGTGCTGTTCACCCACGTGGAGGAGCTCTTCAGGGCTAGAAGCTGATTCAATGAGTTCATCAATTTCACTGTGCTCTGTATGTTTGCTGTACACTTTCTCCTTGAACAAGAGTTTGTCTGTTTGCCTAGAGAGGTTTGAAGTGTGTAATGAAGCAAGAGCCGCCTGAGGCAGAGCTCTTGCTTGGACTGTCCTGGATGCTGGGGCTAGCAGAGAAGCTGGGGATGCCAGAGGAAGCGAGGTAGAGGCACCAAAGAGTGGACGACAACATCGCTGCACCAATCTGGCGGCCATGACACAGCTTGATATACTGGGCTGGACAGGAAGGGGGACAAAGTGAACTGGGGTCAACTCCACATTTCAGAGGCCCTAGAAAATAAAAAACACCACCTTTAACAAAAGCATAGATAACAGTTTGAAAAGACAAGGAAACTGGAGGACTTTGGACACCGGCAGCAGTGCATGCAGTAGGGATGTTAAAATGCATGGATTTTTGAAAACATGTAATTCCTGTACACAACAGGTTCAGTCTGCCTCCCACCCCCGTGCTGCTGAGCCAATGCTTGTGGGAAGCCAGTTTATAAATAGGATCCCCACATACCACCAGCTCCCCCACCCTCTCGTGCTGCTGCCTCTGATATGGCATGGTGAGGGTTAACCGATGAGCACAGCTAGCAAATGTATAAACAACAGTCTAACATAAAAACAGTCAGACTGGATCAGACCAAACGTCCAGCTAGCCCAGTATCCTGTCCACTGACGTCCGGCTAGCCCAGTATCCTGTCCACTGACAATGGCCCATGCCAGATGTCCCAGAGGGAATGAACAAAACAGGGAATCAACCAGTAATCCATTGTAGGCAGTGAAGCACCGGGTAGCTAAGTAGAGTACACCAGAATCTTCGGGTACATATGCTACATGGTCTTCTACATACCCAAGCAGGGCCTCCTTCCCCCAACTGCTATTTTTAGCATTGTAGCATCTCTGCTGCCTACACTCTGCCAGAACTTTTCATGGGCACATGTAGCTAAACACCAGCGTGGAGGCGGACTGTTTTTCACTATGGCACAGAGCTGTAAGTACCCTACATGCTGCTGCAAGTATAGACAAGGCCATACAGACAGGCAACTGCTCTAGAAGATAAAGTATAGTCTCAGGCTGAGAATGGTCAATGAATTTCTGCCCTATTAGTTTCACATTCATTCATGATATTCATAAAAGCATCACTAAGGTCTGAGCATTTAAGACTTCCTTTTGCTTTCACTCATTTGAAATCGTTTAAACAACCATTCTAATACAACAGGAATTTCTTGTAATTTATCAAGAGTCAGTTTAAGTCCCAGGCCCTTATCAATCACTTAGTCTAAATTTTCAGAGGGGTAGCTGAGTTACTCTGTAACTGGAAAAACTTAAACAACGAATAGTGTAGGAGTACCTTAAAGACTAACAAAACATGTAGAAGGGGGTTTCCCAACCTATGGGTCGGGACCCAAATATGGGTCGCCATTACATTTCAAAAGAGTCACCAAGTGTCTCCCCAGGTGGCTCTTAAGGAGCCATTCACACATTTTTTGAACTGCCCTGGGTCACCTGCCCAGTATTCCTGGATTGTCAAAATGGGTCCCCATCTGGAAAAGGTTGGGAGCCACTGATGTGCACGGCATCATGAGCTTTCGTGGGCAAAACGCTCCTCCTCAGGTGACCGGTGTATTAAAAGTCTAGGATCTGAACTTTGAATACGCCGGTCATCTGAAGAAGGGGGTTTTGCCCACCAAAGTGCACGATCCCATCTACGTTCTGTTAGTCACATTGGAAAAAATGGGGGGGGCCCATGGACATTGAAAACGTAGACGCTGCACTAAAACTCTAAGGCTGGTATTAGGGTCCGTTCCTGCCCCGCCATCCGTCCTGTATCCGTCCCCGCCCCCCCGAAGCGCTGCCTCGAGCGAGCACCCAGCACGATCAGCCTCCCGGGG